ATTTTAAAAAATTATTTCTTTAAAAATCGATTATCAGAAACATTGCGTACTTCAGCTTTGTGAAATTTTTATATTTCAAAATTCATATCACTTAAAATTCTCTTGAATGAAAATTAGGCTAAATTAAATTGGGTAAAAGGAAATTCTGTGAAATAAAAATTATGCCAAAAAAAATTTGGTACCTAACGAGTATTTGACATAGTAAGTAAAATATAGGTCTTAGGTTGGTTACTCTTGACGTGAAATGACTCATATATATATACCTATATAAGGCTGTTTAGGCTTTTTAGGATTCAAGGCCTTAGTTCAAACATAACCTCAAAATTCAAGGAGATAAGTCAATGGACTGACCTGTTGGGTTTGAGACTATGTCCGACAAACATAACTTCAAGAAACGAACATAACCTCAAAATTTAAATAATTTTAATACTTGCAAACCTTTAAAAAAATATTAAGCATTATAGTGGAAAATAATGGGGGTTGGCGCGCAAAAAATTAATTTTCAATATGAAAAAAATTTTTGAATTAAAAAAAAACTAAAAATTTTTTTTACAAAAGTTTTTTTTTTATCGAAAAAGAAATTGTTCTAAATAACAAATTTCATACATTACGAAAAGTTAATTAATTTTAATATATTGTTTTTAATGAGAAACAAATTAAGGCAGCAAATTACGTACTTGTGAGATAGTTTTGAAAAGAATTACATAATTATAAATAATGTAATGTAGTTTCCTAATGAGAGTCTCAATGACCAAAATAGTATATATAAACGTTTTTCAAAGAAAGAATGAGCGCAACATACATATTATCAACTTAACGCAACTATTGTTTCTTATTCTCAAGTTGCAATATATGCCGATGTCTTATTGACAGTACCAAGTCAGGTTACTGCAGAATGTCAATCGCGCTCGGTGTTTCCTTTTAAGTGTCGAGAACGCGTCATCAAATTGGAATTCGCTGCCACCGAGCCCTGCCTTCCTGTCTTATAACAGGAAGCAGAGGATATCAGGTGGATATCCTATTTTGATTATAATTTAATCGCAGATTTATTTATTTATTTATTTTTTTTATTTCTCGCATTACTCCAATTTTGTTTTAAGAGGCGCATGATTATTTCATAATTATATTATATTATTAATTTTCCTATTTTTTAGTATACAAAAATTGCATTCTTAATTATTATTTACTTTTTCTTTTGAAAAGCGAATAGTCATGAAATTAATATTTTATTATTAATGACGATGTAACTAACAATTAAATGCATTCTCACATTAATAATAATAATAATTTGAGTTTAATGATTTCGAATGAAGAATGAAAAAAAAAATACTATACACTTCTCTCTCGCGGGGAGAAATTGCAAGGCTAATAGCCCAGAGAGTTTACTGTGAACTTGACTGATTGGAATAAAAATCCATACAAGGATCATTAATGACTTGTGCGAACGAAGAGAAGAATAACTCAACTTGGTTTCTTTCTCTTTCTCTGTTGGCAGGCTAGTCAATTGCCATTATTAACACTCCTTGAGTTTAATTCACCAGGGAACCAACTATATAGCAAAGAGACTTTCCATGCGTTAGATTTTATCATCATGCAAATTAAGTGAATAACATAAATAAAGAGATCACTCGTCTGATATGTCAGGGAAAAGTTTGTAAAGATTAAATTCTATAACAATATATGTGTACAAGAAAAATGAAAAAAAAAATTTATTTATTATGTTAGAATTTTGAGATTAAAATATTTACTCTCTAAATTTGAATTAGTAAAAATTTTAACTAATTTGAATTAGTGACTCATTTTTTGTTTTTGAATTAATTAAATTTTACTAATTCGATGGTAATCAATTTTTTTTCTACTATTAATTAGTAAAATAATATTATTTGAAAAAAGTTACTATAAAAATTAGTAGAAATTTCTATTAATTTTTAATAAAATATTATTATTTGATTTAGTAATAATTTTTTTTATTGTAGTTTTAGTGATAAATGACTAAAAATTAGTAGAAATTTTCACTTATTTAAATTGGAGAATTTACTAATTCAAATTTAGAGAGTATATGAAACACAAAAATAAAATTTGTACTTCTGAATATAATATTGAAAGTAAAGAATTAAAAATGTTGTTTTCTTTGGGCAACTGCAAGATGAATATATATATATATAGTCAAAATAAAAGTTGCGAGTGGGGTTGAAGAAGATTCAGTCTACATGATAAATTGAATAATATGATCAATTAACTCTCAACGGGGGTCTCTGCAACGTGATCCTTGCGAAAAATTCCTCTTTTATATATGGAAGACGTTTCATTTATAAGAAAAAACAATTTGTTGAAAAATTTCACGAATTGAAATTTTACAAAATTTGATTTTTTTTAGAATTTTTGAAAATTATAATATGTTTGATTTAAACTTATGGGTTAGTTTAAACTGGGCTATCTTTATATTTTTGACACCTGCCTCACCCTGCTTTTCTCTATTCTAATCCCCCACCCTGTATCGAAGAAAGCTACCATTACCTGCAAAGTGTCACAATTTAGATGTTCCCACTGATTATATTTGTCAATAAGATTTTGACATGATTCTTAACTTAAAAAATCAATTATTCTTCATTGAAATGTAATATTTTAATATATCTAACTTATCAAGAACTTACTAATTTTGAATCAAATAAAATTTATGTTTAAATGAAATATATTTTATCAACAAAACTATATTATTGAATTAAACTTAAATATAATAAAATAATTGGGATCGGCTAAACTGCAATACGCCATCTGGTGGGGACCCATTCTCTCCCTCCATTTTCTTTCTTTGTCTCTCTTCAATTAATAGGTTAGAAAGAGTAGAAAAAACAAAATGGAGGGAGAGAATGGGTCAAAGTTACTAGATTGTTACTAGACCACCGTTCCCAATACTAAGCAAAGTTATAAGTGTGAATTAAACATAATATAATTGAACTAAAAATATCGTTTTCTCACTGTAAAAACATTAGTGAAAATTTCTACTAATTTGAATTAGTGAATGAATTCTCCCTAATTCGAATTTACAGATTATATTTACAGATTTATATTTTGAGATTGGTTGTGAGAAATTTATAGATGAAAAGACCATATTAAATCTTTTGATAATTTTTCAAAAAAAAAATAAAAAAAGATTGAAAATTAAAAATAATGTTTCTTTAGAATGTGTCCATTATCCCACGCATGTTCAGATGGTTTGCGACGTCAACTACCCCGGTTCAAGGAGACTTAACCTTCGTTCGGACACAGAAAAGATTAAATTCCACAGTAACGTTTCAAGGAGACGCCTTTTAACATATATGTATATATATATATATGCTCTTACCACCAACCGTACTTCATCTTGAATTACTTTATATAACGATGCTGCGACTTTTACTTTTAAAAAAATAACGCTCTTTTTCTGTCTCTCCCCCCCCCTCCAACCAGTAAAAAAAAACTTTTATCTAATTTAAATTTTCTCTACTTTATCAAAAATTGACACAGTCTACTAGTGCAGTATTGGTATTAGTACCGCGCCAGTACTGCGCCAGTAGTAAATTTTTTTTATAGAAAACACAAAAAATTACAATATGTTCTTTTTAGAAATGCATTAAATCAAAGAAATTCTAACATTGATATAGGGTCAAAGAAACAATTATTTTATAAAATAATTTTGATCACTTTAAGTATAAGTTTATTTGATGCTAATAAATAAAAATTGATTAATCAATTACGGCGAATGCGCCAATTACGGCGCGTTCATAAAAAATAACTATTACTATTATATTTAATATAATTGTTGCAAAATGATTTAAAAAAATTATTTTAACCTTTTTTTTTTAATACAATTACTAATAAAGATGCACATTTTAAACAATTATTAATTTAATTATTTGAGATCAAATTTTTTCCCTCACCGTAATTGAAACATTTTTTTCCATTGGCTTCAATTACGGTGGGCAAAGTATCTTCAAAATACACGTTATTTTATTCACCTTAATTGATACACCGAAACTGATACAAACACGCCGTAATAGAAAATTACACGGAGAAAAAGAAAAAGTAATTTTTACTACTTTCAGAGTAAAACTGGACCAACTCGAAGTTTCTGCGCATCTCTGGCAATTTTTACTCCAAAAATAGTAAAATTTATTATTTCTGTAGTAAATTTTACTGTTTCCGTAGTAAGTTTTACTATTTCTAGAGTAAATTTTACTACTTTTGGAGTAAAAATTGCCAGAGATGCGCAGAAACTTCGAGTTGGTCCAGTTTTACTCTGAAAGTAGTAAAAGTTACTTTATAAAAGAAATCTTTTTTCTCCGTGTATGGTATTAGTTTTAATTATTCATATTTGTTTGAATAATCAATTTTTAAATAGTTAAAAATTTTTTTTAATATCTAAATAATATAAGCTTTTAGTTTAATATTATTGACTTTATACAATAGAAATGTCGAATTTTCTATTTCAAAGGTGTTTTCACTTGAACCGCGCCGTAATTAGAACATTTGCCCTAGTTAGTATTAAAAAAAAAATTGGAGAAAAAAATTAATTGTTAGAAATTGAAAGTTTTAAATATTTTTTAATGCAAGCCCTCTTACAGGGACGAAAAAGGCTACTTTTAAGAACAGTGAATGTAAATGGTCTTTTACGTATACTATGCACATGCGCACTCACATATGTTATATATCATATATATGTTATAGAATGAGGTTATGATTAATACACGTGCATAAAATTGATTCTCTTGCACATATAAAAAAAAAAGACTATAAAGAGTCTTAAAATAATACTAAAAATGTAATTACTCTATTTACACATGACGTTAATTTCTATGCATTTGAAAGTCATAAACTGAAAATAAGTGACTAAATAGAATTATCTAAACAGCAAAATGCTGTGTTAAATTATTATGAAAAATTCATTTCCTGCTATAAAAATATTACAATTGTTCTTTTTTTTTTTTTTGGAAAACTGTAATAGTTTTTGTGAAAGAAGATGCAGTTTCGTAAACATATAAATACTGCAGTTTCTTTTCGTATACCATCACAGTTCATTTGACGACAATACAAAATTCACAGTGAACAAGAATATACTCTTAAAATAATCATGAAATACGTACTATTTTTCGCAGGAGTTGTACTCTTTCAAATGGTGAGTAGTGTTTCAAAAATTAAATCGACTAAAACTTAATATTTTTACAAATAAATATTTATTTATTAAAAATTGTATTCACTTTTTAATGTACATAGATGAGCACAGTGCATGGAAATAAGGAAATGTTTTTAGCATGCGCCAAAGAACTTGGAATATCAGAAGGTATCAGAATTTTATTAAAAATTATATTTAAGAGATTTAACATATTCTGTTAAGACTTTTTGAAGCTTTAAATAGGTCAAAAATCGTTTCTTTGAACACAAAAAAAAGTAGAGACAAATTTGAGTAGTGTTCGTTGCTCAAATTTTAAAAGCACCAAAAATTAAGCTCATTAAAAATGAAATTTTTTTGTTTCAATCTGAAAATACGTGAAAAAATTTATTGAAATAAAACATGGCACGATTCATTTTGAGAATAAGAAAAAGTGAAAAATATTGTCAAATAACGAATAATTTTGAACAAATACATGAAATATAATAATTACCAAACGTAAATAATATGCTAGACTTAATTTAATATGTATTTAATTGAAAATTGCTTGTAGTTAAGCACGAAATAGTATAAGGAGACATATCGCTGTATATGAAAGATGGCTCCGTTTTCGGTATTCACGGTTCTTAAGTTTTCACCAATCTAATTACACTTGCGCCAACCGCGGGAAATTTTGGTATTAAACTCTGTATTCTGTAAACACGTGATTTTAATACCAAGGTTTCCCTCTAGAGGCGCAAGTGTAATTAGATTGGTGAAAATTTCAGAACTGTGAATACCGAAAACGGGGCTACATTCCGTTAGAGCCGGCCACAGGTGATATGTCTCCTTATACTACTTCGTTTAGTTACGTAAAAAAGTGAAATATGTTTTTAGGTTAGAAAAATGAAAACATGTGTTTTAACAGCAGGAACGGTATTGCCAACTTAAATAAGTAGCGCTAAATTTGAAAACTTACGAAATTAATTACTATTTATGTAAAATATTTTTTATTTAAAAATTACTAAATATTTGTCTACTGTTAAAGAAAATCTTTCTGGTATTGTTGAAATATTAATAGTACCAAATGTGGAAAAAAGTAATTCTTTATTCATTTCTTTTTTGGTCAACTTGAAAGTTATGCGATTGTTGTAATTTTACATTTAAAATATATTTTAAGTTAAAATTTTGTTGTAAACTTAACAGTATTTTTTCGAGAAAACCTGTGTAGAATATTTACATGTATAATCATAACAATTCACATAATCGTAAAAGTCTTAATTGTTAAAATATATTGTAGCTGCACTCAAAGAGGGTCCTGGAAAGAATATGAAAAAACCAGAATTCCGTTGTATTCACGCATGTGTTATGAAGAAGGATGGTAGTGTAAGTACCAGTATAATTATATTATGTATGTATATAAAAAAAATGATTATAAAAAATACAGATCAATTTAAAAAAAAAAATAATTTTTTTATATAATAAATATATTTTTGATGGTCAAAAATTAATTTCCCATAAGGAAAAGATATGAGGCAAAATTCCTGAAATGTCCGAACAAAAAATTAAAAGTTCTTGAATTTAATCCATACTTTTCTAAAATGTTGTTATTGTTGGTGAAAGTCTAAAAATCAATTATTATTGAATTTAATAAAATAATTTTTGAATTACAACGTTTTTAATTTTTGACTTTTGAAAAAAAATTTTTTTTTCAATGTACAATATTTATAAGTAGAATGCATAAAAGTTAACATATATATAATGATTTTTAAAGCTTTTTTGACGAGCTACACGCTCTTAATAAAAATTTTTTTTTTTAAATAACATTTGACCTTGAAATTCAAGGTCAAAATGTTAATTTACGTTTATCTCAAAATCGGATTTTTTAAAATTATTTTTAACTATCTCAATGGAAAGCTTGACTAATTTCCTATAAAATATGTAATTTTCAGAGTGGGACCTTTTAAAGTTTTTGAGATATTAATTAATTAATTAATTAATGTTTATAACAAATGAAATATTTTACAAACGAATAAAGTTACCGTAATTCTGAAGTTAGTAATTGAAAGTTAACGTAATTCCGCATCCAACGAGCCCTATATGAAGTATTTTGGATAAGTAGATTGTTAATAAACAATTAGTTAACATTGCAATTGTTTATTAACAATCTACTTATCCAAAATACTTCATATAGGGCTCGTTGGATGCGGAATTAGCTTAACTTTCAATTGGTAAGTTCAGAATTACCATAACTTTATTTGTTTGTAAAATATTTTATTTTTTACTAACAACAAGCATCCAAAAGCCCTATATGAAGTATTTTTGTTCAATTTTAGTTAAATAACAATAAAAAATGAAATATCTTACAAACAAATAAAGTTATCATAAATCTAAACTAACCAATTGAAAGTTAAGCTAATTCCGCATCCAACGAGCCCTATATGAAGTATTTTGGATAAGTAGATTGTTAATAAACAATTGCAATGTTAACTAATTGTTTATTAACAATCTACTTATCCAAAATACTTCATATAGGGCTCGTTGGATGCGGAATTACGTTAACTTTCAATTACTAACTTCAGAATTACGGTAACTTTATTCGTTTGTAAAATATTTCATTTGTTATAAACATTAATTAATTAATTAATTAATATCTCAAAAACTTTAAAAGGTCCCACTCTGAAAATTACATATTTTATAGGAAATTAGTCAAGCTTTCCATTGAGATAGTTAAAAATAATTTTAAAAAATCCGATTTTGAGATAAACGTAAATTAACATTTTGACCTTGAATTTCAAGGTCAAATGTTATTTAAAAAAAAAAATTTTTATTAAGAGCGTGTAGCTCGTCAAAAAAGCTTTAAAAATCATTATATATATGTTAACTTTTATGCATTCTACTTATAAATATTGTACATTGAAAAAAAAATTTTTTTTCAAAAGTCAAAAATTAAAAACGTTGTAATTCAAAAATTATTTTATTAAATTCAATAATAATTGATTTTTAGACTTTCACCAACAATAACAACATTTTAGAAAAGTATGGATTAAATTCGAGAACTTTTAATTTTTTGTTCGGACATTTCAGGAATTTTGCCTCATATATGAAAAAAAAATAAAACCAAAATATTTATAAACTTTTTACAATGATTGATTTCGTAAATTTAAAAACCAAAGAACATACAAAAATCTCAATTTTTTAATATAAATTCTAGATATAGTGTTTAAATAATATTGGTAGAAAATAAATTAAATGAATTTTTACAGCTTGAAGCCGGTAATAAATTAAATTTGGATAAAATGAGGGAAAATGCTCCAAAACATTTAGGAGATAAAGCTGATGCAATGATTAATGCAGCAACCGAGTGCGCTGAAACATGTAAGATTTAGAAGCATTTTTGTGTATAATATTTATAAATTGTATAAAATAGAGTTTCTCTAATATATGAAATTAATTTTCAAATTACAGCGAAAAACATTACCGATGAATGTGACTTTGTAAATGAACTATTCCACTGTATATTTGAAAAGATTCCAGATTTGAAAAAACATCCCAAATAAGGTGGATAAAATGGATTTGGATTTATAATTGTAAAAAAAAATTTATTATTTTCATGTAGAAAGTCAAAATCACTGATATAGAGGAATAAAGAAATTATTATATTAAATCATGAATATTTGGTAATATTTTTTTTACACTCAAAAAAATTTGCTTGAAATAACAAAATTTTCATTGAATCGCAATGAAATAAATGTATTGCTATATTCAATTAACCAAACTTTTAGTCAACTAATATTAATCAAGTTAAAGTTAAACTAAATGTATATTTGGCTCAATCAAATTCTTGTTTCATTTGAAAAATTTAATAAAATAAACGAAACATATATTTAAAACAAATAAATAAATGTTTAATTGCTCTGTACAATCTTAATACAACGCGTACATTATCAATACACTGAGAAAATATATATATATATATATATATATATATAATATATAATAAATTAAGTTTAAAACAAAAAATAATATTGATCGTGTCAAAATTTTATTGACAATAAATATAAAAATAATTAGTAGAAGATCCGAATTGTTACACATTGCAGGGAATGGTAGCTTTTTTCGATACAGGGCGGGGAACTAGAATAGAGAAACGCAGGGTGAGGCTAGATAGATATTTTCCATATATTAAAATAAAACTTACAAACTGTGTTAAATTAAACTAAATCGTTTAAATATATTTAAATATATTAATTTTTATTTATTTATATTTAAATTAAGAATTCTTTTTTCTAAGTTTAATTTTTTTTCCAATTTTTTCTGAGTTCTTTTGTCAAGTTCTTTTTTCTCTCAATACTTTTGTATTGTGCACAAAAAAAATAATATTTTTAATTAATTTTAATAATTAAAATAAAATTGTCTGTATAAAAAGTGACCCACTGTTGCCAACTCTTCTCTATAGGTTACGTCTTCGAAATGTGAGAAACTAATAATTTAGTAGAACGATCAGAGAAGCTTGCAAAATCACGTGTATTCTTGCATAAATTTACTAGATTACTATGATTTGTGGATCACGATGATTATGGTTCTGAATATATATATATATATATATATATATATATATATATATATATATATATATATATATATATACTTTTAAGAAACCAAAAGGGTCTATTGAACGCCTTGAATGGAGATGTAGGTCTCGCTACAAATTTGTGGTTGCAGTTGTGAAATGCGTTCGAATTTTAACAGCATCTCGTAAAAAAGTACATAAACTTTTTTAAAATATTCGTCAATCTCAGTAAAAAAAAAGAAATTAAAAAAGCAGGCTTTTGAAAATTAAAGTCAACAAAAAAAATCATAAAAATAACAAAATTCGAAAAATAATGATGATAAAAAAGAAAATTTTTAATAAAGCATTTAAATATTTAAATAAAAGTTTGTTTCAAAACTATCAATAAAATTTCTCAAACGTATCATCTAAAATTTTTAAAAAGTAGTGAATTTTAAATGTTAAATTGTTTTTTTAATAACAATTAAAATTTTAAAATTTTTCTTTATCAATATTTTTTTTATGAATGAGCATCTAAATACGAGTAATTAAAAAAAATTATCCCAATTGGTTAAAAATTACAAATCATATAATAAATCAAAAAAATTACAAAAGGGTCAAACCATTATATTTCAACTAAAGTGGTCGCTGACTAATTTTTAAAAATTATAATACTTTGCAGGAATGATTTTGAAGTTATCAAGATCACGAAATGAAAAGAATTTTATTAAAAATTTAAATATTTATTGTAAAATATGAATTTAAAGTATATGAGGTGCTAAAAACTGTCAATTTTTTAGCCATTAGAAAATATGCAAAAAAACATAGAATTTACCATAAAAATAAAAAAAAATTATTGGAATTTACTAAGAATGAATAAATTTATCATTATCAATTGATATAATTATTTAAAGATGTGAAGTAATATATAAAATATGATTTCCAAGTGCACCTGTCAAATAACCTAATTTTGCGATTTTTATTCATTAATTATAAAAAATAGAAAACATTAAATTAAATAAAAACTTACCAAATATGAAGTTCTTGCCATAAACTTTTAGAATTTCTTTGCACTTTTCTTCTTTTCTATTCATAAGTATGAAAAATTTAAAAAATAAAATAGCTACTTTGTCTATTTTCACTATTTTTGAAAGTCAATAACTTTCTTGGAGAAAAATGAAAAAATATGGGGTTTCGAAAATTATTTAAATACACACTACATATACATTCACTGAAAATTTCGCATTGGTCCCGAAGCTATTTTCGAAGATAAAGTAAATTAAAAATTTCGTATTTTTTAGGCTATATGGACATGGATTTTAAAGGTATTAAATCAATGTGAAGTTTGTCGTCACCAGTGAACCACCTTCACATTGATTTAAAATCCATGTCCATATAGCCTAAAAAATACGAAATTTTTAATTTACTTTATCTTCGAAAATAGCTTCGGGACCAATGCGAAATTTTCAGTGAATGTATATGTAGTGTGTATTTAAATAATTTTCGAAACCCCATATTTTTTCATTTTTCTCCAAGAAAGTTATTGACTTTCAAAAATAGTGAAAATAGACAAAGTAGCTATTTTATTTTTTAAATTTTTCATACTTATGAATAGAAAAGAAGAAAAGTGCAAAGAAATTCTAAAAGTTTATGGCAAGAACTTCATATTTGGTAAGTTTTTATTTAATTTAATGTTTTCTATTTTTTATAATTAATGAATAAAAATCGCAAAATTAGGTTATTTGACAGGTGCACTTGGAAATCATATTTTATATATTACTTCACATCTTTAAATAATTATATCATTTGATAATGATAAATTTATTCATTCTTAGTAAATTCCAATAATTTTTTTTTATTTTTATGGTAAATTCTATGTTTTTTTGCATATTTTCTAATGGCTAAAAAATTGACAGTTTTTAGCACCTCATATACTTTAAATTCATATTTTACAATAAATATTTAAATTTTTAATAAAATTCTTTTCATTTCGTGATCTTGATAACTTCAAAATCATTCCTGCAAAGTATTATAATTTTTAAAAATTAGTCAGCGACCACTTTAGTTGAAATATAATGGTTTGACCCAAAAAAAATTAAATTTGCAATATTTTGAAAAATATTTTGAATTTTTCAAAAATACATGGGATTTCTTATTTTAACCCTTAAAGGAACCCAAATTATCAATTTTATAAAAATTTATCAAAATAACAAAATTAAATTTTTTATTTTAATTTATTATTATTATTATTATTATTATTAAAAATTACTATTATTTTTAATAAATAAATCAAAGTTCGGCTCAATTTAAAAATTTTTTTTACAAGAAAAAAAATATTAATTTTAAATTAAAATTCTAAAATGTTGATTTATGTTTTTCTATCGATGAACGTTGAAGAAAAGAGAAACAGTTTTTTTTGTTCAATGTATATAATAATAATAAAGATAAAACTTTGAAAGACATTCATTTGAAATGATTAAATGATCATCTGTTTTTCTGTTTGGAATTTATTGAATTTCCAGTTGTCGCAATTTATTTTTATTATTCTGCAGTTTTAAATAATTCTCGGTAAAAAAGTAGGCAGAAAGATTTCTTATATATATGAAATTACAGTTCTCTTTACTGTAATAATCCAGTGAGAATAATACAAAGAGCCTTCAGGCGCATTCTAGTTATATAGATATCATTTATCATTTGAAGACTGTTGTCAAGCTAATGCTGTGTAGATTTGCGAACACATGGCAAAATGTTACAAAATAAGTAGAAAATAATGAAGGAATATAAAGGCATGAAAGAATTCTTTTTTTTAAAATAAAATAAGAGAGAATAAATATATATATATATATATATATATATAATAGTGTATAGTATTCAATATTATAAAGTGTAGAAATATTTAAAAAACTTTCAGGTAGAACCCTCGATTTTTGTATTGACAGAGAATTTTTGATGAAACTTGGCCACAATGGTAGATATTGGTTTAAAAAAAATGTAGTTAAATTTTTAAATTTCGAGGTTGACTATGACAAAAGCTATAAACAATTTTATTTTTTCACATTTTACATGGTGTCTTTTGGGAAAATGCAGTTTCATCATCTTTAAAATGATCCTATGTAGGATCCTATATAGGATTTAATGTAGGATCCTATATAAGATCATACACAACATTTTACATGGATTTTTATATATATTCATATATGATTAATTCTTACCTGAGATCCTATGTAGGATCCTGTATAGAATTTTATGTATGATCTTATATAGGATCCTACATAGGATCTCATGTAAGAATTAATCATATATAGGAATTTATGTGGGATGTCATGTGTGGATTTCACTGTTTTATTTGTCCATCTAGGATACCAAGTCGGAAATTATATGAGAAATTATGTATGAAATTATATAGGAAATTATATGGGAAATTCCAATATAGATGTAAATCATCATAGTTCCACTCTTACGCCGCCAGATGGTGATAATTTTTTTTTTCTCACAGTTGAGATCAGTCTTGAATACTATATAAAAGCTGAGACTCTAACTCAGAAGGTGTATTGCAAAAACACAATTTTTTTTCTTTTCAGATGAATTGCAGTAATATTATTTGATTTTTAATTAAATAATTTTTAATTTTTATAAATTGCCGTCTGCCAACTGAAAATTCCTATATGAAATCCTATATTGTTTCCTATATATAATTCTATGTGAAATCTTAATATAGATATATTTCAGAATCTACATGAAATCCTATATGATTTCTTATGTTCAAATCAATCATATATATGATCCCACGTGAGGATTTTTAATATGATTTCATGGCAGATTTTTTGTAATAATTTTTTATTCATGAATTTAAAAAAAGATTTGATATATGATTTGATATAGGAAAATTTCTGGTTAAGGATTGAGCAATGAATTTTAGTATGTTTTTTAATGAGAAAACACGAAGGAAATTGACATAAGAAATTGAAGGAAAAAATGTGACCAGAAAAAATTGTAGGATTTCACATGGGAATTTACATAATTTATTACTTAAGAAATACGTTTATAAAAATTTACATCGAATCCCACTTCAAATCATGTCTCAATTTCCTATATGATTTTTCATAAGATCCTATATATAGT